ATCATATTTGATTTTACAGAATATAATTTATTATTCTAATTCATAATTTACGTTGTATAATATATAATTATTATTTGAATCTGATAACAATAAGGAATGGATCGTTAAGGGAAGATTCACTGCTATTACTTTTCCTTTCTTAGTTATATGTTCATGAGTAATTTTGACTCATCATATTTGATTCTATAAAACATAGTACAATATATATTATTCTTATATTTAAATATTTTGTAGTGCATAACATGTGGTTTTAATTTGAATCTAGTCAACAATAAGGGACGTATCGTTAAGGAAAGATTCACTGCTGTTCATGAAATTCTGCAAACGGGCGTAAAGCGAGGATTTATTATCGGCTTTAACGATCCTCTATTTTTGGTACTTTAATTATATCCGACATCCGGAAATTGATGAACTATGCTCGATTCTGTAGAACGAGCCAGTAGCCATAGTCGCTTGTTCAGCGAAATCGTTAATCGCGCCTTATTTACAATCGTTAAAGTGAAAAATTACGAAGACCGCCACCGATTCGCGGATATATTTACGCTTCCGCGAAGATTCATCTTAATTATTTATCTTAATTGTCCGCCCTCTCCACCGGGCTTTACTATCCGGTTGCTCGTTCGCCGGAAAATCGATGCCAAATTAAAAGAAGAAACACGTTCGAAAGCGGATTAAATTAGGGTCAGATGGCAGCGTGTTCGACGGGCGATAAAAATAACTCGTGAAAAGTTTCATTCAGACGCGTGAAAGTCCCTCGCCGGGTGTCACGTCGTCACGATTTCGCGTTACGAAATTCATAATGAATCGATAACCCGGCTCGAAATTTTTGACTGCGCAAATGTTCGCCGATAAGAAAAGACGGGAATCAAGACTGATTTAAGTTATAAAATTTCAGATTGATGGATGGATGTATTAAAAGTTAACAGGATAATTTTATGATTGCAAGAGAATTATGTTTCGAAATTTCGGTTATACGAACAATTTACTGACATGGTTATAAAATAAATGTTCCGTGGGAATGTAGGCAGTACTGGCATCGTTGAATAAATAATAGTTGAACAAACAGGCAGTGGAGTGAATGCATAGTTAATCAAATGGTTGGATATGTAAGCACAGTAAATACAGCCGGTGAGAGTGGATGAAAGTAGAACGAAATGGCGAGAATGATCATTGTCCTTGATGCATAGCGCCAGTAATGGTTCGTAATTGCTCCATATTCTAGCCACTTTTACGATGGTAGCAGTTAAACAGTTCCACAGCGGTCCAGTATCTTATCTGTAGTTAGAAATAAATCTGGCAATTCGTTGATGAAATTCAACCGGGTATGCCGTCCGAATGAATAACAGGAAGTTCCTTCACCTTTGAGGATCGTGAATTTACTATACGAGCATTGGTCGGTAGAGAGAATCGACGTCTACCAAATATGGTCAGACTCGATACGAATTGACATTGCTGCCTTTTAAAGGCTCCCACAGATTGGGTAGCCAGGTGTGAATTTGAAGGAAGGTAACTACCGTGACTGAGCATAAATCATTCCCTTAAATGGAGTTACGAATCTAGGATGAGAATGATTCCGAGACACGAGAAATCAATGGAAATATAAAAAATATTTGGTAGACCTGACATTTAATGTTTTCGTAAATTACATTAGTTGTACAATCATATTATATTTCTTTCATAAATCTCTGACTATATTACATGCGATTTAAACGTCATAAAATAACAAGATATCATAAACAATCTCGATTGGTACAAAATAGCTCGTCGATCGACGTGGTAACACGTTTCATGTAATCTCAATTTCAATAATCGTGACGGACAACGTAAATCGAATATCGAGCACATAATACGTTCGTAAAAACAAGTACATAATTCTCAATTAGCAGACTCGGTGATCCGACGGCGTTTCGACGATACGTACAGAACTGATAGCCAATTAAACTTGATGGTTAGTCAGAATTAATTGCTTGTTTTATGCCCCGTTTTTCGGTTCAAAGATAAAAC